GCTGCATCACCGCAGCTGGACCAGTGCAGTGACTCTTTTCATCATTGGCCCCAGAGACTTCCAGGGGGTCTGGGACATGAAGACATGACTATCGTTGATATCCGTTGACTTCGATGGAGGAAATAAAATGTTTTACAGTTAGGAAATCCAATGGGTACAGTAATTTGCAAACACTTCTGCCACATTTGGGGACAAGGAAAAAGCAGTGGAGACACATGTTAAATTCTGGTCTTATCATTCACATCTGTTCTTTTTTATCTTAAGGATGAAACTCTTACACCAGGTGTCACGGGTCTGGAGAAGAGATGGGTTGTCTAGCTGCTCTTATAAATTACTGTCGGTGGAATACAATCCTTTATATATCAACATCACAGTGGATTTCTGGACTGGCGCATGACCCTAGATGTTTTTGGTGACCCTCAGAAGAACTGGGTATTTGTTTGCAATAATTTTGGACCAGAGACTGTCCCTAGTACTGCACTTTAAGAACTTGTCGCAGCTAATTATTGGGCTGAATTTTTCCTTTTTGTATTTTCTTAGCCAAGCTCCTGGTAATTTGAAATTTAAGACAATTGTAATAAGACAGCTTTCTTAGTTGTTTTGATCATGAGGGTTAAACATTATAATGTAGATGCTGGAGGGACTAAATACAAAAGGAGGGCTCAAAGGAGAGAATGAAGGCTGCTTGAAGGAGGCTTATTTAAATGTGAAGTGATACTACAGGATAAGAGTCCCAAGAAATAGGACTGACTGATGAATGTCCCAGAGAACCAGGATCGTTCTCATCCGCGGTTGACCGGTACGAAGACTAGCTCATGTGACTCACTTCTCATGCATGGTCATCTGTGAAGCGTGGGTTCCAGGTGAGAGGACAGCCACAGAAGAGGGGAGAAAGGTGAATACTCAAGATGCAACGAAGAAGTGGCAGAGGATAAAGTGTCAGACGAGGTGGCAGCAGCACCACGTGGGTCGCTGCTGCTCCCCATCGGTGGGTGCCTCCTTGCCTGGGTCTGCTTTTCTGTATGCCCAGCAGAGGACAATATCTACTAGTTTCTAAAGCAGTTTTATAAAATTATTTTGTACATGTACTATATGAATTAGCAGTTTGCAAATTACACATTAACAAGTAATACATCTACACAGGATCTCTGTAATAAAATACGAAAAAGCATCGGGTGCTCAGTCTTGTTTGTTACTGTTATTTGAAGCCTACACATATATTCATTTCAGTATCCATAATTCTAAACAACTGAAAGGCAGAATGGAACAAACTCCTCCCAGTCCATCTTTCCATCCTTCTGTCCTCTCTCTGTTCTTCTTGGGGAGGAGCGTCTTGTAAAGTTGCTCCAGTGCTGGGCGGGGGCTTCTGTGCCTCCTTCCTGGGCTTCTCCTTTTGTTCTCTTCTTCATCACCTGCCTCTTCCTCTCCCATAACTGAACAGTGGGAACAGCGGAGCTAGCCTTTGGGGACACATGATTGGTTATGGGATAGGAAGGGGTGGAGCCAGCCCTCGGGGGGTTGGGAGGCTCTGATTTGGAAGGACAGTGGCCTGTAGCTCTGACTGAGTTAGAGAAAGCAACGTGGAGAGGAGCCATCGGGACTGCTGTGTTTCCTGGGGCAGGGGCAGGGCGGCTCAGGACAGCCCTGAGAATATTGTTTTGGCCTAGGCGAGTGGAGCCAAATAATGCAGATACGGACATTCTTAAGTATTTTGAAACCATGCCCAATCCGTCATTACTGTGTGACACCTTAACTGTTAAACTTTACCGTGAATGAGTGCCAACCACTAAGTGTAAATAATATCTAATCCCTCCCACACAGGGAGAGGGAGTAGGAGAGTTTAGAGTTCTCAAGAAAGGCAGGAGGAGTCACCACTTACAAGGAGAAAGAGAATTCAAAAGGGCATTACATTTTACCTGGGGCCGGCATAGTTTCCCTTTAACTCTGTGGAGGAGTTAACAGTTACATTCTTTCTTCCCTTAGCAAGGAAATACTCATGCTTGCTTGCTTGCCCTCAAACCTTTACAGAGGAGTTTCATTCTTGAGCAATCAGCTAATGTGTTGGAGTGCTTCGTGTAAGACCCCCAGAGATCTCCCCTCTCTTTTCCACAGAACCTTTTCCTGACATCCTGTCCCAGTTTCTTTATTATGGAAGTATTTTTCTTCTTCTTTTTTTTTTTTTTGGAGAGGTTTTCACTATAGGGTGCGTGCGCTCACCAGACAGACAGAGAAAGACAGAAAGCGAGAAATCACCACCCGGGGGGATGGCCACACCACAATCCCTTCTCCTCCATTCTCCTCTCGGGATTTTGGGCACGCACACACATGCGCCCGGCATGAGTTTTAAGCCTCCGGGTCCGGGACGCAAACCACGGTCGACTACGTGGGAGTCCAGCGACATAGCCATTATGCTAACTGCTGGTCCCTATTATGAAAGTATTAATGGGCTGCAATTTGAAGGCTGTTGGTCCTTGGTAATGGTTGAGAAAGGCAATGAAAAAAATGGCACGAGCAGGGAATGTGAAGACGCATGTCTGAGAACTCAGTTTCTTTCTCAAAGCAAACAATACGTTGGGCCGTCAGAACACTCACGACGCATTTTTCTGTTTTTCTATGCAAAAAATGGGTCATGACTTTCCCGATGACCCAATACTCGATACAGTATGGCAACTCCCTGTGTTTCTTGGCTATGAAGGAACCAGCAATTTTTAAATGTTGGCAGCCACTGACCTGTGCCTGTTACTTTTCTTCAGGTAATTCTTTCAACCAAGATAAGGCACAAGTCGTTTAAAGGATTCCTTATACAGCTTCTTGAGTGGAAGATAATTTTTTAAATGAATTCTTTATTTAATTTTATTTATTCATTTATCTTAATTTGACCAGAGAGAGAAGGAAAGTGAGAAAGCAAGCCACCAGGTCCAGGACTTGAACCGTGGTTGGCCATGTGGGAGTGTCCAGCTCCTTAACTACCATTCCACCTACTGGTCCCCAGAAGATAGTTTTTAAGCCTTTATGCCACCAACCTGCACAGATTGTGGGGTGGCCCCTGGCTGGAGAAGTGCAGTTGCCTGCCGCACCCTTCCTGCGCTCACTTTCCAGCAAGCAGGGCAGTTGGGCCTCAGAGGAGGACTTCCCCCAGGTTTTGCCCTACGTATACTTTGCAATAGTCAATCGCCCCGAGAGGCCAAGTGTTCTGAATACCTTGGAGACACTCAGCTTACCCTCAGTGCTCAGGATTACGTGGGTGCACACTCTTTGGACAGCACCATGACCTGACACCAAGACTGTGCTACTTGAGGCTTTTACCGATTTTTTTCTCACACTAGCCTTCATTTTTATAGTGCGTTGTGATTTTTTTATGCGCGCTTTATTGATGCTGCTGATGCTTGAGATAAGGAAGGCAGATGAGGAAGTGGATGTTCACCACAGTGGGCGACTTGCCAGAAATCCCACAGCTTGGCAATGGCAGGTCAGGGTCAAACCTTGGTCTTCCAGCTTCAAGATCATTGCACCCGATTGCCTTGATCCAGGCTGCCTTCATTCCTTGAGGTGGTTTTCTTTCTTTTTTTGGAGAGGTTTTTGCTATAGGGCTCGTGCGCTTGCCAGAAAGAGACAGAGAGACAGAAAGCAAGAAATCACCCCCCCAGGGGGGATGGCCACGCCACAGTCCCTTCTCCTCCATTCTTGTCTTGGGATCCTGGGCACGCATGCACACGCATCTGGCGTGAGTTTAAGCCACCGGGTCTGGGACTCAAACCACGGTCGGCTACGTGGGAGTTCAGCGACATAGCCATTACACTAACTGCTGGTCCCTGAGGTGGTTTTCTTGACTCTCTATCTCTGACCTAGCTCTTTCAGAGGTTTGGTGTCTTCTGGAGCCTAAAAAATATGTTTTCTTCTCATCTGGTCTTTGAGCTTTTCCCCAGACTTCTTCCCTAGGGAATTTTCTTGCCCTCAGTCTCCCCACTCACACTCAAGCTCCAGTTGGGTGGGCTTCCTGGGAGCCCTAAAGTGTTCTGTGTATGGACTCTAGGGAGAGATGACAGGCGCTTTCTGCCCAACTCCAACTGTTTACTTTCTCCACGTCCTATACAAATGAACCGTCCATGCCATTAACTACACCATAATGCGGCAGTAAGCTCCTTGTATGTAGGAAACTGGATCTCACATGGCTGGTTGCATTTTAATCCCTGCCCTGGTGGCTTGACAAATGTACCAGGCATGGTGTGTGCATGCCCAGTACCTGACTGGATGGGTTAATGGAGGAAAGTGGGTGATGCTGCAACTGTGCCTCATGGGGGCTGGGGGGTACCTTCTCTCGTGAGTGCACACTCTCTTTGACAACTAAAGAAAAATTCACTAACATATGTTCTATAAGATGGAGTATATTCAGGTCCATCTCATAGATCTTTTGCCAATCACATTCCAAAGCTTTTTTTTTTTTTAAAGTCTGTTTCTTTTTTTTTGAAGTCTGTTTCTTAGCACTTTAGATATTTTAAGCTATCACTGCCTTCATTGGTTTTTAGTATTTGGACGGCCATCTTAACTGGTTGAGAAGGCTTGAGAGGTTTCAAAAATACAAGGGAGCGGCTGAGAGGCCCCACCTATGTGCAAAAGGTTACATTAATAATTGTTGAGAATTCAAATAAATGTTGAACTTTGTGTGTACATGTGTGGTATGTGTGTGAGAGAGATGTGGGAGCTTGAAGGAGAGGCTGGCGGAGGGTGGGGGCATGTAGTAATTGAATCCTTGCTCCATCTCAGTTTCCCTGCCTTCCTTTATTGGGGGGAGAGGTGTTTGAGACAGGGTCTCACTGTGCTGTCATCCTCCTGCCTCAACCTCCCGAGTACCTGGGCCCACAGGTGTGCACCACCTCTCGGGGCTCTCTTGAGCCCAAGTCTTGCTATCTCGCCCACACTGGCTGCACGCTCACAGTCCTCTGCCTCAGCCTCCCCAGGAGCGAGACTGCAGGTGTGTACCACTGCCCCTGGCTTTCCTCGTGGTTTTTAACTTTAAAATCCACATTGTAACTTTGTTTTTAATTTTAACTTTTTAATAGCTATCTCCCTCTCTCTCTGTGAAGAGAAAACAGTTTAAACTTAAATAACTCCCCAAAGTTGGCAAGAGGAAGACCTAAGTCTTGATTTCGGGGGTCTCTTAACTCTAATTGAGTTTTATTCACTTTGTCAGGAGTGAATGAGATTTCCTTGTGAAGGAGGCAGAGGCGGAGAGATCTCATTTCATGGAGATCTCTAGAAATACATGGAAAACTCGAGATGCAGCTTTACAATGCCTCATCTGGGTGACCTGAGTTATTCTTCTATTGTGTAGGGGTTTTAACGAAAAGCTATTACTCAGAGCTATTGTTTGCTGGCTAAGAAAATTGGATCAGTATATTTGATCATTAAACTTTATTTTAATTAAACTGAAGCAACACGGCACTAGTTGGTATGTTCCCAGGGATTATGGGTCAAGCCAAGTTTTTCAGACCAGATTGATGGTATAACTTCCTGTTAGGTAACTGTTACAGGATGTTAGTCATTCTTATTTTTTTTATTTACTCCTTCCTTGGGAGAGAGGGACAGCGTCCCACAACCCACCTCCTGCCTTAGCCAGCCCCGATCAGGGCATGGGTGTCCTTAGAACACAGGCGTGCTGGGCACGTGCTGGAATCTTCCCAGGAGGGCCAGTCCTGTGTCATCCCAGTCCTGTGTGAGGATGGACCTGTTTTTCTGAAGCAGGCTCCAAGAAGCTAAGTGACTTGTCAAAGTCGTGCAGAACTGGAACTCACGGCCAGTTTTGAGACTCCAAAGCTCATGTTTTTAAAAACAACCAACAGAGGAAATAAGGATGGGAGGAGTTACTGCTGAGCATCTATGCCCTCAGCTCCAAACCCTCTGGAGCACACCTGCAGATAAATACACCTGTTCCATGTTAGTCAAGAACCCTGTTGTAAAGGAAAAAAAGAAAAAAGACAAAAAAAAAAAAAAAAAAAAAAAAAAGGGAGGGGATCATGATTGGTTGCAGTGAGCAAGCACACAACACGGGGGACCTTGAAGTGACTCCGGAAAGGGGGTTACAGAGATCTATGTCAGCATCTGTGCCTGGGTTGGGTGATGTGCAGAGGGTCTAAGGAGACAGGGTTTGCTCTACTGGGTGCTGCCAGGAAGTGGGGGCAGTCCTAGGACTGGCATCTCAATCGGTTTTACCTATAGAGAGGGAACTAGCAGGAGAAGAAAGCTGTAATTGGATAGGGAAGCAGTTGCTCATTGTAGCCAGTGTGGAGATGTTTGGTCTTTTGTGGGCGGCATGGACGCTCCCGGTTTGTGCTTAGGCCTTACTTTGCCTCGCTTTGTCTTGTTCTCGGAATGACCTCTGCTGAGGTCAGCGTTCTGTGAGACCGGTTCTGTCTAACAGGAGAACTGCAGGGCCAGCTTCTAAGGCCGGGGCTGCTCTTTTTTTGTTTTTGAAGAGGAACTCAGGATAGAAAACAATTCAAAGTAGGGTCTGACAGAGCCATTCCTTTCATTTTTCTTTTTCTTTTTCTTTTTTTTTTTCTTAAGTTTACTTATTTTTCCCATGAGACAGAGACAGAGAGCTCCCCCGACAGAGACTTGATGCTGTGATCCACCCCAGCCCCAGCCAGCCCTGGGACATGGAGGAGCACGTGCCTGCCATGCTCGTGGGGGTCTCTGGATACGCACTGGGAACCTGGCCCTGAAGCAACGCACGCTCTGTTGTTCCGCTGTTCCGCCATCTCTCTGTGGCAGTCTGTCTCCTAGAGCTGTGTGGTGGGGAGCCCTGCTTTCAGGCACAAGAGCCAGAAGGAAGACAGGTTGGGCCTCCAGGAAAGTAGACGGGGATGGGGGCAGGAACCTGGCGGAACAGAACCTGCCCTGAGGTTAAACTGAAGAGCCCAGTAGAAATTGATTTCAGTTACCAAGGAAAAATCCATGGTGATGAAGAGACTAGGGACTAGTCACGGACCCCCTGCTATGAAGTAGTTTTAAAAAGGCTTTCCCTTGGCCTACCTGAGATCCAGTTCTAAGGAGAAGGGGAATTGGTAGCAGAGAGGATTCTGGACATGAAGCCCTGGAGGAGAAGGCAGGAGTGGATCGGGCAGAAGTCTCAGTCAGTGCAGAGCATGGGGGCACTGGCAGACCTGCTTAGTTATGGGGTTAAAGCCACCAGCACACGGGAGGGTATGGGAAGGGACAAGGGGAAGGGGCTGTTTCAAAGCTTTGCCCGGAGAAAGCTCCTTTTCTCTGCTCCCGTCCTAAAAGACCACCGAGGGAGACATCTCAGCTAAGAGCAGGTGTTATTTATCTAGACCCCCCCAAGATAGCTCTGTCCTGGAGAGGCAAGGTGGGGCGGGGACGGCAGGCTGGCGGTGTGGGGTCAGACATGAGCCGTTGGCCCCAAGCCTGGGAATCACAGCTCAGGCTCCTGCCCCAGTTTTACCACCAGGTACACCCAAGAGGTGTGTGCTCCCCTGCCTGAGGGCTCAGCCCTCTCACAGTGACCTGGCAGGCACAGGCCGGAGCTGCTGTAGTGTCTGAGCAGGCTCGAGGACCCTCAGGAGCCAGGTGTGCTTTCTTCACAGGGACATGGTTTGGCAGCTGAAGTTGAGATGTTTCCACTGCTCCCAAATATAGGAAGAAAAGGTCTTGAAGAGCATTAGCTCCATCCCTGCTTCTCGGCTAAGCACAGCAGGAGCAAAAAAGTAAAAGTAAAAACATGAGTTCCAGCCATTGGGCCCGTCCCACGGCATAGTGGCTAACAGGAGTTGGAGCCAACATGGCTGATTATGGTTTGAATCCAGACCCTAAAGGCTTGAACACACTGGGCCCCAGATGCATGTACAAATATGCATACCCCAAATCCAGATGGATGAAATGGAGCAGACGAGATTGACAGTATGACCTGTCCCATTAGGGGATACTTTCTCTCTCCCCTTCTTTCTCTGTCAAAACAAACAAAAAATGAAAAAAAAAAGAGAGAGAGAGAGAGAGAGAGAGAACTTCCAGTCATTTAACCATTCACAGAGTGGGGCTAGCCAGTGTCCAGCAGGACACCCACCCTGCATATGCTGTTTCCTCACTTCCATTCCCATGAATTAGGCTTTTCATTGCAATACCCAACTTGTTACACTCATATATGACCAATTAAGACACTGGTAAAAATGAAAGAGAATATGTTTTAAAACCCTCTTTATTTATAAGACCAGACCAACAAATGTTGAGTTACAAGAACTTTCTTCAGGACCACAAATGGAAACATAGCTTGGAAGAGAAATATTTTGACAGTACACAAAAATCCCTGTGAATCACCCATTCTAATAGCTAGCTTGCTTCTCTCCTATTTGGAAAGTGCTTCAAGCTGAGACCATTCAGGACACAGACTGAGTGAATGTATAACAGGCCCGCTTGCTTGTCCCCTTTTCATTACGTGGACTCTGTGTTCTACTCTGCAAGGTGTGAGAGGAAATCGGAACCATTCTTAACTCCAGACTGGAAATTGCTCTGGAGAATAAAAGGATCTGAAGGTGGCATCAGGGGATTCTCCCAAGCCTTTGTAGATGGGAGCTGCCATAGAACAAAGGCAAAAGCCTTTGTTCGCTCACCTGGGTAACACTGAGATAAGTGAAGGTCAACATGTTTTCTTTTGGACAACAGTGAGAAGAAATACAGGCTATAGATTTGCTATTCAAATGACAGACCTAGCTTACTGTGATAATACAGGTTCCTCCGAGTAACTTTATGCCCCCGAATTAAAAATAAACAGAGTTGGGAGTAGCTACTATCTACGTTCCAAGTTCTCACTCTCCTAGAATCACTGAGAATGTTGCAGAATTCCAGACCAGAAAGTCAAATGCTATTCCTGAGGATTCCAGGCACCTGAGGACCTAAAGGAAGTCTACAGTGCCTGACTCGACCATTTGATATGCACCCGTCACTGTGAAGCACGACCTGGATTATTAGGAGGGAGCTGGTTCCACACTAATCCGGAGTCCTGAGGGGTTTGGTGGTTACGCTTAATATTTAATATTCAATTCTGCTCCAGTAGAACATGGTACCCAGGAGAACCCAAAACTAGAATGAAAAAATAGGAAAAAGAAATTGCTTTAGAAACATCTCATCCTAGGGGAAAAAATAGTATTAGACTTATTCAGGCTTAGGCAATACTAGATTTTTAAAAAAGACTTATTTAAATTTATTTATTGTATTTATATTTATTTATTTTAATTTGACCTGGGGAGGTGGAGGGAGAGAAAGTGAGAAAGCAAACTGCCAGATCTGGGACGTGAACCATGGTCGGCCATGTGGGAGTCCAGTGCCCTTAACCATCACGCCTCCTGCCACCCCCAATACTAGATTTTTAAGAGTAATCATTTCTTAAGCAATATCATGGGCCAGATGTGACATCGAACCCATCCCTCCTCCTAAGTATCATCACTTGTAACTTGCCAATAAGAGACAAATTCCCTATTCTCTCACTTTTTAACCCTACCCTAGATCTTTGTCTTCTGAGGGGCACCCTTCTCACTTGTGTGCTAAACAAACCCCCCCAGGGAAATTCTTTATTCTTCCCATTAAAGTGAATTACTCCAGTGCATTTCTATTTCTGGGATGTACCATTTCAGGTTAAGAATATTTTGATTCTAGTTATCACACCTCACTTCCTAGCAAACTCCCCCCCTTTTCTCTAAAGTGCTTGTAACTTGAAGTGGCTGTCCCTGAAGAATGCCACAGAGCTCAAGATAGTCGATTCACCTGAGCTGTAAGATACTCAAGGCCTTTCAACATTATCCCATTGTTCCTCCTCATAGGGCACCAATAGACTGTCGCTGTCATCTTTCATTCATTCAACCAATTATTAAGCCATTACCGTGTGCTCTGCTAGGCACTGGGGGTACCAAGAGCAGCTGGTTCCCTGACTTTCCACAGACTCAAGTACGTGACAGTGAGTAGATCCATGCTGGAGGTGTGCTCAGGGTGCTGTGCGAACCCCTAAAGTGGACTGAGTGACTGAGAGAAACTTCTTGATGGAGTGGTCTCTCCTTCCTGTCTCACTCAGTTTATCAGCACCTAATCCAGTGTTTCTCAGGGTATGGTAAACAAACACGCGGCAGAGACTTTCAGGGGTCCATGATGTCAAGACTACTTGAGCAATAAGAAGACTTTGCTTGCCATTTTCACTGCTTTGACACTCACAGTGGTGTAAGAGCAGTGGGAGGCTGAACTGCTGGAGTCTTAGCCACAGTCAAGGCAGAGGCACTGAACTGCATTAGTTGTCACTGTGCCCCTCACTGTTCTGCACTAGGTAAAGTAAAACAAGAGACAGTTTCACTTGAGGCTGTCCTCAATGAGCAATAAAGGGCTACTAATTTGATTAAATTTTGACCTTGAGTATACATCTTTAAATAGTCTATATGACAAAAAGGAAGTATGCATAAAGGAGTCCTGTTGCATATGGAAATATGATTGTCAGCCCAGCTGCAAAAGTGCAAGTGGGTGAGCTGGCTGGGGCTATATGGAGCAGTTCCCAGGTTCAGGTCCCTGCCCCATCTAGAATGGCTGGGTGCAATACTGCATGCCCATGATTCCATCTAACTGGGGGGCTGGGACTACTTCTCTAATACTATAGTTCTCAACCCTGACAGCAAATTAGAATCATCTGGGAAATGGGCCCTGCCCTCAGAGCAGCTAAGTCAGAATTGCAGAGGTTGGATGCCCCAAGCATGTCTTCTTTAAGCTCTTGTAGGAGGTTCCAAGGTGCAGCCAGGGCTGAGAACCATGCTCTAACCTCTTACTGCACATGCCCCATGTAAAGTGAGCTGTAGGGAATGACAGCCCTGGAAGAACCTTTCTCTGGAAGGAATTAGACTGAGTAGAGCCAGGCAGGAGCCATCTAGGTAGGTGACAGTCTTCGCTATCTAGTTGCACCGAATGAATGGAATCCTGAGACCTGGAGGAGCAGGGGAGCGTCCAGTGAGAAGTGAGAGCAAGGGGAAGAGACTTTTCAGCCCCCCAAGGCAAGTGTGTCCCTGGAGGGAAAGCTAACTCTCTCCCTCTCAGGGGAAGCCTGTCCTTGCTCTGGTGTCAGAAGTTTCCTGTCTAGCCTTCAGGCCCAAGGTACTGGTTCCAGACCTCCTAGTGAGGTTGAGTGGCAACATGAAGGCCTCTCCTTATCACTTTCTCAGAAATACAGTAAGTGCCAGGAAGTACTCACAGTCCAGCAGAGAATGGCAAATCCAAACCAGGCAACCCCCCAGGCATGTCGGTTCATTGGTCCAGAAATCAGCTCATAGCAGCCCTGGAGGAGGGGGCATTTTCATACAGGTGTGACAGGAAGCAAGAAAAAAAAAAAAAAAGATGTAAGAGGCAGGGGGGGGGGATTTCTTTGCATCCGGGCCCCCAAAGTCCATCATAAGGGTGTGACAGGAAGCAAGAAAAAAAAAAAAAAAGAGGTAAGAGGCAGGGGGGGGGGATTTCTTTGCATCCGGGCCCCCAAAGTCCAGTTTCACATAACCAGGCTATTTCCACACCCCTGTGGATAGCCAGCTACCAACAGTGCTTTGCTGAGGAAACATCGACACTGTTGAACAGCTAGTCTACATCACATGTTTGTGTCTTAGTCTCACTAAGAAAGATGCTGCCATTTTATTGATTTCAGCTTGCCATATGGCATGGGCACTTACTGGAGAGAGACGAACAGAAACAGAGAAAGGGAAAGTGAGAAATCACTCTCCCTGGGACCAACAGATGGTGTAATGGTTACGTCACTGGACTCCCACCCAATGGACCGTGGTTTGAGTCCTGTACCTAGTGGCTTAAAACTCATATATAAGGAAAATGGAGGAGAAGGAATTGTGGCATGGCCATCCCCCCAGGAGGGGGTGTGGATTTCCCGCTTTCTGTCACTCTGTCTCTCTCTATCTCTGCCAAGCACATGTGCCCTATAACAAATATCTCTAAAAATTATTTTAAAAAAAGAAAAGAAAAAGAAACCACTCTCCCATCCAGGAGGGATATTCCTTCATTCTCCTCTTGGGATCTTGGGCATGCACACACATATGCCAGGTCCAGGACTCAAACCATTCAGTCAGTGTGGAATACAGCTACCTCAACCTCCACGCCATCTGCTAGCCCAATGCTGCTATTTTAGCACAAATTTTTTTTCCCATATTGAATACAGGGGCACTGTATTCTTAATAAAATTTAAATATCTTTTCTCTTCAAAAATATTTTACTGATGATTTGAAGGAACAGTTACTTTCCAATTTTCTTGTTTTTTTTTTTTTTTTTTTAAATAATATTGCTTCTATTCTATTGAAAACTAGAAGTTCTCTGTTGCTATTTTAAGAAACACCTACATCCTACCTCCTAAATTCTCACTTGGCACCATATTTCAACATATCTTTATTGGATTCTAGTGAGATATTGAAGGCCATAGTGTGTGTGTGAAAGTGATTAATCTTTTATTCAGTGAATCATCATTCATGCATATGTCCTAACCCAGTAGGTACGTATAGGTGGCAAACTCTGTCCTAGTTACTAGGCAAAGATCTGGAGTAATACATCGTGTAAGGATAGAGCTGCCATCTGAACAACTGCCTCTAAAGCCCTGGGCGTCACAGGGAATCTCTGAGAAATAGGCTGACCAGGGCTGGTTCCATGGGCCATGATGTCCTCATCAACTGCCCTGGAAGTTGAGGCTCCTCTCAGTGGGGCCAGGAGGCCAACTGAGGTTCTGTCCTTTATGAATCTGCTCTAGTCCCATGGTAAGCCACGTCACACTATCTTTGCTATATCTTCATTCTCCCTATTTATTTTTCATTTACAACGCAGGCACCACCATTCATCTATTAATAGATGCTTAAATGAGGGGCCAGCAGATGGCATAATGGTTATGTTGCTGGACTCCAATGTAGTCAACCACGGTTTGCGTCCCAGGCTTGGCAGCTTGAAACTCATGCCAGGCACATATGCATACGTGCCCAGGATCCCAAGAGGAAAATGGAGGAGAAGGGATTGCAGTGTGGCTATTTCCCTCGGGGGGGTGGTGGGGGTGGTGGGG